TATATGATATAAACATGTTTTAAAACATTTTGGTAAAATGGAAAGGGGGGACCACAGGCATCCCTAGTGACCAGAGGGGGGATCACATGACTTTTTTTTAATTCAAAAAATTTTAGAAAATACAAAACAATGGACACTGTGTGCCAGAATGGTCTAGCTGTGCCATGCAGTGGCAATGATAAGGAAGCTGTGGATTGTTAGAATTACAACTGCCTGAAAATACAAGAAGAACTTTGACGTTTTGAGTGAAGGCTCTTCGTTGGGAAGATGAGAAGACGTTTTCCCACTCGTCTTCCTAAAACCTGCTACCCAACACCTTACAGTAGCACAGTACGGTCTGTGCATCCGCACATTGGAATCTCCTGCATGCCATAATATAAACACTTTAATTAGGTTTTTATTTCATTTTAAATGTTCTTCCAACGTCTGATTGTTGTATGTTGATCATTTATTATAATGCAGAAGTCGCAGAAGCATGAATTAAATATAAATAGTTGTCGAATAAAGTTCAATATTTTGAATGTAAACATGTAAACAAAGGCTTTGTTGTTCACATAAGAACTGTACCCTGCCTTTAACATCTTAGCATACTGACCACATACAACATTAGTTAATAAATAATTGTAACATTATACCTTCATCAGTAATTCTTTTGGAATAGATCTTGCTTTGTGTGCGACATCCTGGGACTGTGATGCTCAAATTAATAGATACAGTTTGTACAGTAATTATATAATGAGAAAGTTGACATATTCTCCCAAATTCTTGTTTTGGGTTGTCTCTACATTCAGTCAAAGGTTTATATGTTGGGCACTTAGAACAAATTTCTGGAAAGTGAGGGTGAATGCAGCAGCCAGTGATTGTGTAGTTTGCATTCTGTACCGTACGCAACCAAGATGCATCTGTACTAAAGTCTTTCCAATACGTTATGGCCACCTCAGGAACTAGTAAATAAAAATTGACCAATTAAACAATTCAGCCATTGCAAGCACTGGGCGCGAAATAACGGCCGGTCAACGGACAATGTCCGGCCAGAATGCGAAAATGTCCGGTCAAATTCTTACCTTGCCGATCATTTTGACAGTGAAAGAACAATTAAAGTAATCTTCATTTTAATTAATTAATAATCAAAATAAAGTTGTCAAGTATATATAATTAAGAACCATAACATGTTGTCAAATGTTTTGGGGGAAAAGAACTTCAATGTATGCCAGCTTTCCCACGCAGTACGTCACAAAGCTCTGATGCCATACTGCAAGCTGTTTTATGTGAAGGAGTTTTTAATTACTGATTACAGTAAGGGAAACGACAAAACGCGGACCCCAGGTCCATGGACTACCTTCGTGGACCTGGTCCATGAACTACACTCGTGGACCACTCTCGTGGAGTGGAGACTATTATTCCGAGTTTAGGGAGCCGAGATTGGCGGGAACTATTTCATTATTCATTTCCATTATTTATTTCACAATCAATTCAGTTTTTGTTGATGAACAGTGAATACTAAGTCTGTAAAAATGCAGAAAAAAATGTAGTCAGGGTTCCATTAAAAAATATAGGAATACTGTGGAGAATCTGGAGGGGACGGGGGGGGGGAGGGGGTGTCACTCAATCAAAAATCACTTGAACTGTAGAAGTCGTAAGTTGCAATGACCTTTCAATGCCTGAAGGTCCTCTCCCAAAAATATTAATTTTTGAAGCTCAATTACTGC